GCCTGGGGAAGCTCTAGCTCAGGCCTTCAATATCAGCAGCGATGAAGATGTGCTATTTGCCATCTTCTCCAAGGGGCAGAAGCAGTACCACCACCCACCCGATGACTCAGCCCTCTGTGCCTTCCCCATCCGGGCCATCAACCTGCAGATCAAGGAGCGGTTGCAGTCCTGCTACCATGGAGAGGGCAACTTGGAGCTCAACTGGCTCCTGGGAAAGGATGTGCAGTGCACCAAGGCGGTAAGGAGCCTCCATGTGCTTTGCTCCTGATTCCCCTGTACCCTCAGCTTCTGGGACAGTAAGGGCCTGGGATAAGAATGGGTTTTAGGCAACCAGTTGACAACTACCAATTGCAGAGTCTTGCCTACATTAGATTCTTGAGATGAGTTTACTGACTCATTAAATCAATAATAATACATGCCTTTGTATGCTTTCCAGGCACCAGGCACTGCTTTTGGTTCCTGCTAAGCCACATGACTAAGCTATATGCTCTCAGAGAGCTTACCTACTGGTGAGGCAAGACAAGTAAACACATAAAACAGCCTTGCCCGATATGGTGGTGCACACTTGTAATCTCCACACTTGGAAGAGCTGGAGGTAGGAGGATTAGGTGTTCAAAGTCATCCTTGGCTACATAGTGAGTTCAAAGTTATCCTGGCTACATGAGACTCTCAGACAAATAAAACGATACTTCCTGCCAAATGGTAAATTTTCTATAGAGGAAATAAAATAGAGCAGAGAACAATACTAGTGAATAGTAGTCTTTAGAACGGTGGCTAAGAGACAGAAAAGGGAATTCTAGAGAGAGATAGCAAGTGCAGAGAACTTGGGGCATGCCTAAGCATAATAAGAACTTCAAGGAATCATACCTTGATTCAAGCATATGAGAGAGAGCACCACATCATACTTGTTAAGAATTCAAGCTTTAAATCTAACCAATTAGATTAAAAATCAGTTCTTCCACCTATATCTTGTGTATCCTTGAAGAAGTTATGTGTATTATCTGAACTATAAGTTTTCATCTTTAAAATAGAAATAATATTATCTTTTTTATTATGAGGCTCATGTTATATGGGAATCAGTAATTCATGAAAATAAAATGTTTGGCACACAATAACCACTCAGTAAATGAGCAGATAGGATTATCACTGCTAATCATAGTAATGAAGGACTAGTTATTTACTACTTATCTTACTTTCATAAAATGAGAAATAGATCATCTCCAGTTTTTTTTTTAATACCACTAAAGTTTTATGAACAAAGACCCTCTTCAGACAAGAGAAGTAGAGAGGAAATGTAAGGGTTAACTCCTTGCAGCATCCACCCTGGTTCCCATGGCCTTGTCAAGAGGAAACTGCTGATTCCTGCTTGCCTTTCAGCCAAAGTGAAAAGGAAGAGGACACTGTGCTCTGCTCCAGTGGTGCCACAGAGAGACAAGTCCTGACTAGTAACCATGGGACATCAGAAACACTGGTGATGGCCAGAAGAACAAATGCCTCAACCTTCCTAGTGCTGCGACCCTTTAATACAGTCCCCCAACCATAAACTTACTATGTTGCTACTACATAACTGTAATTTTGCTACTTTTATGAATCATAATATAAATATCTGATATGCAACTCGGGGGTTTTGACGTAGGTTGAGAACTACTGCCTTATAGGCAAAAAATTCCTCCTCCTGTCACCCCCTGGGGCAATACCATTTAAAGTACTAAAAGAGTAGGTGTGCAAAATCGAGGTCTCCTCAGGTTCCTATAGTTCAAAGGATCTCAGAGTTAGGGACTAGAGATGCTTTCAGTGACCTTTAAGAATTTTAAAGATCAAAGAGAAGCCATGCCTCTGAGCTTGACTTTAACATAGTCTATGGACCAACATATAACTCTCAGGTCAAAGATGTGAACATTGCTCCCACAAAAAAGCATATTAGTTACACATGAAGGGCAGTTCTGAGCAGTTTATTACCTTACCTGATCTTCACAAGTAAAAAATACTAATTATTAATACCCTTTTTCAGATAGAAAGACAAAGGCTTAGAGAGTGTAAATAAACTGCTTAAATACATATAACTGTGAACCAGAAAGCAGGGTCTGAATTCAGGTTGGCCCACAGGCTCCCGATGCAGGCTCTGTGGGGCCACTGCCTCTGAGAAAAGTCATACTTCAGTCACTGGCTGTCCATGCAAATAAAATGGGACGTCAGACATTGGAATACCTGACAAGATAATGAGGAAGAAATTGCCACCCATTCCCAGGGCTTAGGCTCAGAACAGATCAATTCTGTTGAAGTTCTGGAGACTCCAGCATCAGGAAGAATCTAGAGAAACCCACAGTTGCCAGTAAGGGCTTTTCACTTCTGTCACCCTACCCCAGAAACTGGCTTAGATCACAACTCTACCTGGACAAAGTGGCAGAAAAAAAACTGACACCATGAAAACAAACTATAAAGAATTTTGACAATGACCCGACTCTACTCTTTTTTATTTTATAGATGAGAAAATTCTGACCCAGAGAGAGGATGTAACAATAAGGATGGATACAGTAAGGATAGGGCTAAAATCTAGATTACCTAACTCTTAGTGAGCAGCCACTGCTTACAGAACAAGGATGAGAAAGAGAGGCAGCAAGGGCAGAGAACAGTGGCCAGTAACCACCTGCTTGGCACTGCCCAGTAACATGCTGGAAAAGAGTAAGGAATTGACTTCACACAACAGAGGAAGAGGAAGAGCCCTGGTCTACAGTATTTAGCATTTCCTGTGATATAAACACTATCAGGCAGCCTGGCTTCAAGCAGAAGTGACATCATTGGATGCAGAGATACACATAGACATCTCATGGGCTAGCGCTGGCATACAATGGCTTCCTCCCTTCCAAGCTGTAGTGTGGACTCTCTGCCATCCAGAGTTCAAGGCCACTCTCACTCTAAAACTTGGTGTTCTTTCTTATGGAATGTTCATGTGGTTTTTTTAGCACCATCATTCCTGCCAGTAGTAGGAGTGGCAGCTGTCCATAAGTACTAAAATCCCAGAGACATGTCCTAGTTCCCCTCAGAACTGAGAAGGGAACATAGGCTCAAAATAATAATAATGATGATGATGATGATGATGATGATGATGTTCTCTGACTCATTAACCAATTATTCTGAGGAAATGAAGCATCAGTTTGCCCCTCCCTGAGGAGGGTGAAAAAGGCAGGTTAAGGGATGCTTCTGTGCTGCGGACTGCTATGTCTTTTGTTTTCTGAGAAGCCTTTTCCAGACCAGGTTAGGAACAGCTCCCCTAGCACTCAAGGTTTTTTTGTTTTGTTTTGTTTTTTGTTTGTTTGTTTGTCCAGAATCTGAAGCCTTTACTGCAAGATATCATGCTGGGCAGTTAGCTGGGGTGTCTTGAAGCACCCATCAAAATACAGTCTCACGCTCAGTACTATGCAAGCCCTATCCTCAAGAGCCATGCAGTTCCCTCCCTTCTTTCCCCTCTCTATCCAGAAAGACATCTGACTGGACATGCTGTGGTCTTTTGGAACTTGAAAGGCCACCCCTGGTGACATACCTCCTCCAACAATGCCACACCTCCTAATTCTTCCTGAACAGTCCACCAACTGGGAACCAAACATTTAAATATATGAGCCTGTGGGGGCATTCCCGTTCAACACTATCCATCCAGTTCTCTGTATAACATCCAGAAGAAGATGCTGTGGCCCCCAGCGGACCTAGACAGAACACAGGGTGGGAATGAGTCTTATTCTCGGTACAGCAAGTTTTCTCACTTGTTGAAGGGAGCCTTTTTTCAAAGTGACACAGTTCCTCCTGACCCACCACTAATCCCTTCAAAAGGCTGATCTAAGAAGAAATCTCCTTGAATACCTATAATTTGCAAGAGATAGTAGCACACATTGATAAGTCTTTTACATACAGTGTTTTATTTAATCCTCTATAATTTTTCCCAAAGGTGTGAGGGGTGGTGGTAGATCATTACAAATGAAGAATCTAATGTAGATTAAATTATCCATCACAGTCTGGAGGTACAGGCCTGTAATCTGAGTTACTAGGGAGGATAAATCAGGAAGGTTACAAGTTCAAGCCCTGCCTGAGCAATTTAGTGAAACCTTGTCTCAAAATAAATAGTAAAATGAGGACTGAGGAAGTAGTTTTGTGATAGAGCACTTGCCTAGCATGGAAGAGCCCCCAGATCCACCCCCACCCAGTACTCTAAAGATAAATAAATAAAGAGATCCCAAAGCAAAAGACAGCATCCAATATTATCCATGACACTTTCAGTGAGTCCCCAGGATGGCTGGTAATAGTGATGATAGTTTAGTGGCTTAAAATTCCTCATGCCTCAAGGAAAAACTCTACAGCCAAGAAACATTAGCTTGCTCAAAGAACAAACAGGAAACCTCTAGGCCTGTGGAATCTTACAATGTTGCCTCTAGGCTGAATATCCTTTGAGGGAACCCTGTTTAAAATAGACAAGAGCTTCACAGACTGACATGGTCTAAGGGGACATGAAAAGAACCAGAAGGTGAATTCAGTCAGCTTTACAACCTGAGTCTGGCTTTCCTGGTAGAAAGGTAAAAGACATGTGATTCTGGGATAGTGGAGATGGCTAGTCACTTATAATCTGGTCCCATGGGAGCCAAGATGTCATTGTAGGCCAATTGGCAATGAGTTTTGTCTCTAACATGTTAGACCCTTGATCCCACCCCGGATCCTCTCTGAGGCCTGGTATGCTCAGACTGACAGCAATGGGTGGGGTAGTTTGAAATGACCCTTCCATTCTTTTCACTGTGATTCACTCCAGTTCTCTCTTGTCCTTCCAGCCAGTCCCCATTGATGATAACTTCTGTGGCCTGGACATCAATCAACCTCTGGGAGGCTCCACTCCTGTGGAGGGACTGACACTATACACCACCAGCAGGGACCGCCTAACGTCTGTGGCCTCCTATGTGTACAATGGCTACAGTGTGGTTTTTGTGGGGACTAAGAGTGGCAAGCTGAAGAAGGTAAGAATCAGTGGCCTGACTGTTCTGACACATTGAGTTCTTAGTTGAGGGACTCTTTAGAAGGTAGTGGTCAGTAGAAATTTAACTATTGGCAAATTCTTGTTTTCTTAAGGGAAGGGAATGAAATGAGGAGGTAGATAGGGATCAGTTTTGCGGTTTGGCCTTAAATTGTTTCCTACACCCATCAGTCAGTGAGAACCTAAGAAATACAAACATATTTCAATGTTGTCAAATTTTGAGGTATTGGTAAGGTACTTTGGCTAAAGAGAAAAACCACTCTTAATTCCCAAATCAAGTAGAACTTATTTGTTGTTGTTGTTCTTCACATTATGAATCATATGCTTTGCAACCCCTACCTGGGACCCAGCTGTTGACTATAAACTGAAAGAAGTTGGCTAGGGCAGGTTTTGGGTCCTATGGCCTGTGGTGGTGAATGCTGGCCTCAAGGTACATGATTGGTGCCTAGGTACAAGGCTAGTTACCCATCTTTCCAGCAGCTGTAACACTGTCCTCCCCACTGTTTTACCCAAATCTCAGCAGCCAAGAGGAAGGAGGTACCTTCCAACCTACTTGAGTACCCCTACAAGCTGGAGGGAACAGGCTGCCCGGGACTGGCAACAAGGGGGCCCTCTTGCAAGGGAGGCTGAAGCCAATAGCTTGTACCTACTTGTCAAGTGTTTAGGGGTGTGGATAGGAAGCACAGTATGGTTCATTATGTGGGATTATAAAAGCTACATTCTTTCCGGTCCCAGTTAATCCCCATTTCCCAAGCTTATTTTCCTGCTACCCCTCACTAGTCCTAGCACCTGGGGATCAAGGCACAGACAAGATTTTGCTGCACCTCATCCTTTGATGTTGACATTACCAGGCTCCCTCTCCTAATCCATTTAGAGCCCTGGGAGGTTGTTGTTGAGGAGTGTGGAAGAAAGAGCTGGAAGGGAGTCTGAGGAAGAATTTCCATATTCTTCTTGTTTTGAATTGTTGTAGAGCAGGTGGTAAGAGTTATGAGAAGATAGAGAACTTTCCAGCCTTCTCTGGTCATTGTAATTCCAAATCCCTTTGACCATTTCTTGGCTCTTGGGAAGTGTTCCTGCTTGTTTCTGTCTTGCACCATCACTCTGCCCCACAGCCATGGGACTGACTTGGCTTCAGCATAAAGCTGGGGAGGGCAGGAGAGTTGTTCTTTGAGAGAGGTGTTATTTCCTGAGGTTGGGAAGTGGTATATTCTGCCAGTCACATCTCGGCTTGGATGCCTGAGGCTGTCTACCTCCTTGCTTAGCAAGGCTCACCTCATCTAGTTGGACATATGCACCTGACACATGGGACTTAGGCAAGGGGGAGAGTTGTAATACCACCTGAGTAATCCTCAGCCAGACATTGCCATTCTTAGACATCTGCCCATGAGGCTTCTATTACTAATCTGCCTGCCAAAGGAAGTACTTTTCTCTAAAATTGTACAGAAGTTATGTAAGGTGCAGCAAGAGCAGCATCTGGGCGGGTGCTTGGCACTTTATCCATCTTTCTCGAATCTCCAGTTGCTGGTCCAGACTCTGTCTCCTTTAGTAACTTGGAAGTTCTATTAAAGGATGGTTTATTCATACTAATTCTCTTTAAGCCCATCACTGAAGTTTTACTCCCATTATGGTAAGCCTAGCAAAGTAGAGCCATCCTCGCAAAATAGGACTGTCTTCTGAAAAGCCTTGACATCATCTAAGCCCACTACCCTCATTATTCCAGAGGGAAACTGAAGCTTAGAGAAATAGAATGACTGATCCAGACAAAGAGATATAAGGCTAGTTGTTTCTTGCCTTGACCCCCAAATTTGGCACTCTTTTTTACTTTGAGAAGCAGTGGTAGAGATGGGGGTAGAGAATGAGAGTGATTTTCAGGTCCAGACTTGCTACAGAATTCAATCAAGGGATAGTGTTTCTACTTACTCTAGCCTTAGACCTAAATTAAGAAATCAGTATAAGAAGAATCGGCCAACTAGACTTCAAGGGACCATCTGTGTCTGCTGACCCCTTAGTCTTCATGCATCTCACATCTAGAATTGCTTGCATCTTTCCACCTCTCTCTCTCTCTCTCTCTCTCTCTCTCTCTCTCTCTCTCTCTCTCTCTCTCTCTCTCTTTCTCACGCACACACATGCATGTGTAAACAGACACACATAGACACACATGGGGCGAGTTTTCTGGGCCTTGTAGGAGCCCCAGCAGACCAGTCTCTGTCTAGGTAGCAGGTTCAAGGGCAAGGTTGTAGACATAGCTGCCCACTTCATGTCCCAACTTGCAAGTTGTCTGTCTTCTTCCCTTGAGGTTGCTGTTCCTTTGGCTGCTTCTATGAACTCACGATACCCTCATTTTTTCCCCTCTGAGAAGCTCGCCCTTCCCTTCCACCCACACTCCTCTGAGGTACTTTATATCCATACCTGGCTCCTAGTAGCCTCCCACTTGTCAAGCCACTCATCCCCACCCTCTCCAGAGAGAAAGCCATGAAGAATTTATGGAATGTCCCCAGGAAATTCTAGCATGGTCCAGGCCCCATAGCTCTTTCAACACAGGAAGGAAAATAAAGAAAAAATAGCTAAGAGTCAGGCAAGGGAAGGGAATCTGGGTGCGTCAGAGCTACTCACTTCTTCCCTGCCTGGCTAGGCGTCTCTCAGACGGTCCAGCTCTCATCTACAGAGGCTGGTAGGAACAGGATGTCCCTGAGTGGGGAAGTGAACACACCAAAAGTGGCATAGCCACAATGTGATCTTAGGTGCTCAGACACTCAGGGAACCCAAAGGCCAGGCCCTTGTCTTCTGAGGTCCCTGAAAGAACGGGGAGGATGGGACTGAGATCTTAAAGCCAAGATGCAGCACTTGTAGGACTAAGAGCTGTGCTTTTCAGGATGTGGAAAGATAGGCAAAACTTCAGCAAGGGTGCAACAGCTCAAGCAATGGATGTGGGATCAGTCTGCAAGGTCTCATAAAGGCAGAAGAATACCAGGTTGTGGTTTTAAAAGGTGAATTAGAGCTAATATGGCTCTGAACCCAAAGAGGAATGCAAGCAAAGGACTCAGGATTAGAGCCCAGCCAATTGTACATGCTTCAGCAAAACCAATTAGTCATCACCATAGAAGCAGAAGAACAGCTTCTAGATCTTGAGCAGCATTGACTCCACTTTATGAGGAAGATAATATCATAACAGAGTGTTAAGAAACCACGTATGAGATAAACAAGGGGTGGCAAGGATGTGGGAATCACGCTAGGTTAAACAGAGTTCTACAATGCTGAAACCCCAAGGAAAAAGATCAAATAAAGTAGATAAAGACAGCTCTCCAGATAATGCAATGTACTGAGCACCTTTTATGTTCTAGGTGCTATGCTAAGTCTTTTGTATCTGCTAGCTCATTGAACTCTGATGCAGCCATTCTGAGGCGGGTGCTCTTACCAACTTCACAATGCAGATGGGACATAAAGGCAAAGTAAGGTAAAGAAATATGTCCAGTTCATGGCTGAGCCCAGACTTGAATCTCACTTGTTGGCATGCTTAGCCATCAACCTGTAGAAGATGAGTTAGGCTTAGTCATTGTGGCCCCAGAGGGTAATATAGTAGGAGTTTCTGCTGTAGAACCAGCTTTTCCCATAATATAGGAAAGGACTTGTTATAACCAAACTGTTTTACTTTAGGGAATGAATACCTGGTCAATAGATGCATTCAGTAAGGGGTACTGTAGAAGGACTAACTCTAATCTAACCTTAATTTTATCTCTGTGTCCAACTACAGAATCTCTCCCATGATGCCATTGCCATGGAAGATTATGACTCCTTCAATGGAACAAGTATATGGTGGCTTTAGTGAGGATGGCCTCCATAGGATTATACACTTGAATGCTTGGTCACTAGTTTGTAGACTGTTTAAGAAGGACTAGGAAGTGTGACCTTGTTGGAGGTGTATCACTGGGGGTTGGATGGGCTTTGAGATTTTGAAAACCTGTGCTAGGCCCAGCCTGTCTTGGTCTCTCCTTCTCCTCCTCCTCCTCCTCTTCCTCTCTCTCTCTCTCTCTCTCTCTCTCTCTCTCTCTCTCTCTCCCTCCATCTTGTGGATAAGATGTAAGCTTTCAGCTCCTGTCCCATCATTCTGCTGTTTGTCTGGGGCCATATTTCCTGACATGATCATGGACTAACCCTCTAAAACTTTAAGCAAGTCACCAATTAAATGCTTTCTTTTATAAGTTGCCTTGATAATGGTGTCTTTTCACAACTTAGAACAGGAACTAAGATGATATGACAATGAAAAACAGACCACAGCGGAGAATGAGAACAAAGACAAGAAGGTCAGGGCATCCTAGATATGGACCTTGTAGTTCAAGCTTGGTTGAGCCTTCCCTAAGCGTGGCTGGAAGTTTCTCAGGGTCAGGAAGAGGTGTTGGGTATGGGTAAGGCAAGGCCAAGGTGGTGAGAGTGCCTGGGGCAAGACACAGGACATGGGATAGACGTATGGTATCCTAGAGCCTGAACACTGTCCCCTGTGATGACATCCTCCTGGTTGAGCATACTGTAGGAATCCAGAGAAAAGAGATAATGCCCAAGCAGGTAAAAGAAGGGTGGTGGCAGAAACCAGAAACTCATTTCATATGTCTTTCTGATTCCAGGTAAGAGTAGAGTATGCAGTCCAAGGACAAGTTCATGGGGCACAGAACCAAGAGCCATGCTGAATCAGGGAAGACAGGAGTGTGTCGGGGAGGGACTAGCTCAAGTTTCAGGGTGATGCTGCTCTGGTTCCTTCTCACCATTCCTAGTGGCTGGAATTCTGCCCACCTGCCCACCCTACTGTTCCACACACCACTACATGCCCTTGCAGAAGCTAAGGTGGCACTCTGCTTCAGTCTTTGGAACTGAGGATGCAACCCAGAGTAAAATGTGCAACTTGACTGTTGCCTAATACTTGTGACACACGCTCTACCCAGTCACTTCAACCATTGAAGGCAATTCCTGCCACATATCCCAAGCATCTGACCCCACTGCCGGATAAAATACCTCGCATTAGGGACTCTGTAAGCTGACCTCAAATGTACTGGGCTGTACTCTGCCAAATCCTATTTCAATAATTGGAATAGAACTGGATGCCAAGAGTGACTCTTATGGATGGGGCTGTTGCAGAGGACAGTATTCATGAAGGGTGGGCAGATTCGCTGGATGGCAGTGGATGAGGACTCATGGAAACAGAACTCCTACTGTATTACAAGGAGAGGATGCTTTCTGGACAGAATTTGGAAGAGGGAGTAGTGGTGCTCTGAGATGTTAGCTGGTAAGGCAGGAGGGGATAGCCCTCCCATTGTTGCCTAGAGACCCTGGAACAGCACACACAGCCATCTGCCTGAATCAGATGGAAATGTGGCAGTAGGTAGGTAGGTGCAGAGGCCCAGATGACTACCGTTCCTCTAGCAGTCCTTTTGCTTTTTAATTCTTGGGACAGTTTTGCAAATTACCAAGACTGTTCAAGCTATAGGGAGGATCCTGGCCATTTTAAAGTCACTTTTTGATAATTAGCTATCAGCAGCCACTGAAATCCCCAAGATTTTTAAAGGTAAATTGTTTCTGCCTTTTCCAAGGAAAATACCAAGGTAAGGTTTCTAGTCTCCAGCATACCAGAGGCCCTGACATCCCTACCCTATCTTCTTATAATCTCACAATCGATTCCTTAAGGGAAAAAATGTGAACTTCTTGCATTAGCATCTAAGGCCTTGAAGAGCTGATCAGGATTCCTTCCCGAGGGACCAGGGTTAGTGCACAGAGGTTTGATAAAAGTAACATGTCCAAATTTATATGCCTTTCTTCCCACATGGCCATACTGACATTCACACAGACTTCCTAACACCCAAGTTCCTAGCCTATTACTTGGCTTCCCTTGTGGTGTGGGGGGTCACTGTGGCAGCTGGAAGACCTAGTTGCATGAAAAGCTGGGAAACATGACTTTCTTCCTTGCCAATCCCACCAAACAAGAACAATAGTCACTGGTTCCTCAAAGTGGAAATGATTCACTTCTCTCTGCATGAATCCTTGATCCTGTAAACAACCAGAAATAGGAGCTGGGGAGTTAGTTCCAGAAGCCCTAGTGGTTATCATGAGACCAGAGACATCTGACCTGTCCCCTGGCTTCCCCAGGCATCCCATAATGCTGTGATCTGGAGGGATGGTGGGCTAGTGGATGCTCTCTGACCTCCCCAGAGCCGGCATTACAGAGACAGAGGTGGGGTACTGGCTTGGGAGCTCACTACCATATCACTGTAATGAGACTGGCTCCTTGCCCAGACTCCTACCACCAAACTCACTGTTTGTTTTGTTGTTTTATGGACCCCTTGGGTCCAGAGGACTGGTCTTCCCAAAGCTGGGAAAAGAGGCATTTGGTTGGCACAAGGAATAAGTCATACTTACAGATACCCCCCCCCCCATATGTATATCATGCTCAGCCATGACAAATGTAGACAGAGGGTTTCAGCTCTATCCAGAGTCCCAGCAGACCCCAGGGAAAAGGCTTCCAGTCTCCCAGACCCTTCTGAAAATGGAAAGCTAAGGGCTTATTTATTTTTTGCATCTTTTGCACAGCTTGTATAGTTCAATCCTAGTGATTCCTGTTTGAGACATAAAGCAGGGTGTTCTGTGGGCTGTTCACAATCCAAGAGTGAGTCCTTCCAACTTGGGACTTATTACAGGATGGTTAAAAATCAGGGAACTGTGCCCTGGGGCAGGAGACTGAAGGTACTGATTCAAGCTCATAGCATTCAGGTGATCCAGACAGCTTCTGTAGAATTTTCTGCAGACTAAGGTGCTAATGTGTGGAAGTCACATCCTCAGAAAAGTGCCCACCCACCACATACACACATGTCCTTTAGGCAGTTAGGTCTTGCCTACCTATGAACAGGGACATGGACAAGTGTCTCTGTCATAAGGGACTTCCAAAGATCAGCAAGCTCCAGTCCCTTCTCTGTGGGGTAGGACTAGTACATAATGGAAATTCTGTAGTTTCATGTGACCTGGTTCTGAATATAACCTGGCAGCAATGTGATCTCTGAAGTGACCTGCCCTGTAGAGCAAAGGTGATTCTTACCCCTGCTCCATGAAATCATGCTACTGGAATAGTATTTATTGAATGTTGTGGTTTGAATGAGAATGCCACCTGCACCCTGTCCATAGGCTCATATCTTTGAGTATTTGTTCCTAGTTTGTGAAATCATTTGGGAAGAACTGGTAGAATTGACCCTGATGGTGGAGATGTATCACAAGGGGGTGGGCTTTGAGGTTTCAAAATTCAATGCCAGGCCCAGTTTCTCTATGTCTTTCTCCTCTATCTCTCTCTGTATCTCCTTCTCTCTACCTTGTGTTTGTGTTTAAGCTTTCAGCTTACTGCTCCATCACCTTGCCTGCCTGCATGGTTCCATGTTCCCTGCCATGATGGCCATGAAACCTAACCCTCTGGAACTGTAAGCCCCAATAAATTATTTTAAATGTTGCCTTGGTCATGGTGACCCATCATAACAATATATGTGTCAGAAACTAATATAGTAGTGACCAAAACTGTCAAAAGTAAGTACTCATCCTCAGGGAGATTCCATCTTACTTTGGGAAGACCAACAGAAGCCAGAGGTGAGCATGACCCCCAGCCTGTGTGGAAGGTGAAGTGTTAATGGAAACATTAAGTCAAGGAAATGATTCACATGAAGCAGGGAGGGCAGAACTTGGCACAGTCACAAAGTGTGGCCTTTTCCTTTTGTTTTTTAGAATGAGGTAGCAAAAGACACTTTGGATATTTGTCATAAGGATTAAGAAGACAACATATGAAAATTACTTAATAGTGTTGTTACAGAAGAGTCTTCTGTAATTGTGGGCATCTCTGAGACTTCTCTCAAATCCGACTTCTTCCCTGGTTCCCTAGGGGTAGTGACACTATCAGATCATGCTTCCTTTTAGTGACATATTTGCAAGGTCAGATAGAGGAAGACACTCCTGCCCTCTACCCTGAGTCCTGAGTCATGGGAAAAAAATATTTGGAAGACTGGCCCAGCTGAGCCATCTAATCTAATCCTACTGGACTTTGGCATCCAGATACATTAGTCACCAGTGAGAGCAAACAATATGTGCTGGCCCTCCCTAGGGCGGAGCTGCAGGAAGTGAGGTTCTATGCCTGCTGCTTTGCAGAAGTAACCAAACCAGCAGTGTTCTCTCTTGATGCATGCACCCAAGCCAACCACAATATTATGGTGCCACACAGCTCTGCCCCATAGGGAGCAGTTTCTTCCACTGGACCACCATTGTCTGTCTTGCCAGATTGCTGTGGGCATCTGAAGTGAAGGATGTAGAATATCTGATACAGAGACTTGTGTGGAGCTTAAAGGAGCTTAGTGAATGGCAGCTGTTGCCATTGGCATCCTCGATGCTAGTGTTCCTTTAGTCACCCCTATACTGTTACTGTTTTTCTTTCAGAGGTTGAGTTCTGTTTGTTTCCATCATCGTTTTTTTGATGCTCAACTAAAATTGGGGTTGTTCTGTGCTCTCTTGCATGTGGTAATACTCCATATACTTCTGGTCATATGGCTAATCAAGGGAAGATCTGGAAATTGTAAAATTACAAACATTTCAGGGTTGAGATGAGCTCCACACATATTTAAGTAATTTGCATAATCCAAGATGATCAAATGAAAAACTCTCAGCTCCTGGAATAGCTAGCTTTCTCTTTCCTCCCTGTTAGCGTTCCTTCTTGTCCAGTGAGGTACCAGGCACAGAGGATGAACATGGAGTTCTGAGCCTCTTAGTCTATCCCAATCCTGCCTCAGCCTTCAGGAAGTCATTTAGACTTCAAGGTGTAAAAGAAATTGAATGCCAATATGTCCTAACCAGTCACCACTCCCTGACTCTTCTAGATTCTATTCCAAAGCTAGAGCTACCAGCTTTAGTATTGACACTGTCTCTGGAAGGAGACATACTATCAATGGGCTTTGTAACAAATCAGATTTTTCCCTGCTTGAGTGTTCTGGAGTTTGTGAGCAGACAACAAAGATAAGGGTAGAGAGTACAGAGTTGGGACCTGTGGAGGGGCCAGGGCCGTCAAGGAGAAGGCTGACACTATTAAGCAACATCGGGAGCATTATGTAACTGAAATTGGATTTTATAGCTAGAGGAGATTCTAAAACCAGGTCCAATCTAGAGATCCTGGACAGTGATGTATATATTATTC